CGGCTCACCGCCGACGCTTCGCGCGGGGTGCTCGCGTGAGGTGCGAGGACCGGCCGACGGTGAGTGCGTGCGCTCGGGAGTGCGTGCGCGTGGCCGCACCGAGGTTTATTCGACGTTAACCTAAGAGTGCGGTGCGCGCGGGGAAATAGCAGCGCGGCGCGGAGCGGAGCGGCGTGGCGGCGAAGTGACGTAAAGCGTGGCGCGGTGTGGATTCGTCATTCGGCTCGCCTCGGCTCAGCGCGGCGCGGACGGGGACAGACTCTTCCTCGGCCGTCGCCGCTGGCATGGAAGCGACCCGGCCGTGGGGCCGAGCTCGTCGGACGTGAGAGACGGTGACGCAGGGCCACCGCTCGGTTACAGGAACATGAAAACAGCGAGAATGCGACGACCGTCCATGGCGTCCGTCGTGCGCGCGTGATCGCCGATCAGGCGGTTGATCTGTGAAAACGAAGAAGGGGGAGAGTGAGAGAAAGAAAGAGAGAGAGAGAGAGAGAGGGAGAGAGGGAGGGGAGGAGAACATCAGGACGCGTCTACAACGAAACGGTAGATAGGGCACGCCGCGGAAGTGTAGTTAGACCCGCCGTGTAAACGTCATAAACAAACGTTCTGGCCTATCGTTTCTTATCTCCCATCCTCGCAGCTTCCTCTTCCGCACCGGTGTTTCACGCTCGACTGCCACCGTCGTTACCGATCGTCATAGTTTTAAACACGTGTTCGGATTGTTCGACTCACGTGTACGATGTCCTGTGTTCGAGGCTGAGCCTACTTGGTAGACAATGTGATCGAGATCGGTCCTCGTCGGTGAGCTGCGAGATTGTCGGATAGAAACTTACCTATCCCGCATCGTGTTACTCCAAACAAATCGACTCTAAGAAGAACTTGTACGAGAATTACTTTTGGCAAATCTTTTGCGTTCTCTCTCTTTTGGCGTTTTAGATAGATTCGATGGATGCCGTAACTCTTGATGATATTTGAGAGGTACTAGATATCTAATTTTTAACTTTAATATATATGATGATTTTCCTTCATTACGTTCTTCATTACAGGTACTTTAGTATACACGATGAATTATTTGTGTCTCAGGTTAGTTAATTTTCATAACATTAAAAAATATATAAGAATTATTAGATGATTCTTACATACCTATATTTTAGTATCTTTAGAAAGTATTTACGAGCTTGTGTATTTAGAAAAAAATTGTATATAAATATTATAACTGATTATTTGAGACTCCTAGTTTTTCCAAAAAAAAAAGAATATGCAGGATATGAATGACTCAATCGTGTATACTAAGGATTAAAATAAGCATCACTATGTGTAAGAATATTCCAAGAGATTAGAAAGCTTGATTTTATAATGAAAGATTTCTGATATTACATGCTGAATAAAGTATTTTTTCAAAAGCTAAGTAAATAGATTTATGCTGCATATCATTAAATATTTTGTTTTATATAAAAAAAGTTGAGAAAAATTTAAGCTATTTTAGATTTGTTTTTTTTTAAAGAAAGTTCTGAACTGGAGCAATAAGTTGGAGTAAAATCTAGTAAAAATAAGATTCTTATTTCGATCAAAGTGAATCTTAGTACTTGATAATATTTATATGCAGATACAATAATCGTTTATAAATACATTTTTCAGTCTTATAAAGATTTGTATATAAATAATATCAAAATTCATTTTAACTGAAAATAGGAATGTTATTTTTTAATTTATTCTTAGTGGTCTAAATTTGATTTATAATTGTTTAAATATAATTTGTTTTACTCCAATTTACTACACCAGTATATTCCAGTTTAGAACTTTTTTTTAAAAAAGAATAAAACTTTTAATGTTCTGTTTATAAGAAAGTATTAACTGAAAAGAGAGCTGTCAAATATGCCAGCTCTTTGTTAAAAGCTCAGTTTATTAAAAACATTCATTTTATTAAGTTTATTATATTAATCCAGTGTATAGTTATATTACTAAAAATTAAAACTTTCTAGAGTATGGTTAGCATTGACATATTTTTAATGTTTGTCTATAAAGAGACTTTACTGTTTCACCTATATCTTATCTCTTTATCAACATATAACAGTTTTTAAACACATATGTTAAATAAAGTAACATGCCAAGAATGTATATGTGTGTGTCGTTACAGGAAAGAAAAGGCATTTTGAATGACAATTAAACGATGTGAGTGTTAAGCTAATAGATGATTAGTATTGTGTTTAAACGTGTAAGACATTCCACATCAATAAAGTACACGTTGTGACTTCATGTGTGGTGCACCATGTCTAATAGTCTGGACAGCTTTCTCACACGCATAGGGGATGTCACAATTGAACGTGTGACTCCACGTGGTGGCCCCAAGCCTAGTGAAACGAATATGATGACCAGTGAGACTGCAACAAGTGCAAATATGAACGCTGAGCCACAGGCAACTAATGATGAGAGCTCAGATGAGTCGAGTGGTGAAACAACGGACGGCGAGCAAGAGAAGAAACTCGACGTTTTGCAATCCGAGGAAATAGAAGAGATACGCTCGGAGGGTTCAGGGGACGATATGGATCTGGATGAAACGATTGACTCGCAGATTGGTGTCAGAGTGGAATCAGAGAGGCAACCACACCATCAGTCTCCAGATGAAGATGATGAAGAACAAGTTAATATTCTGGATACTTTACCACTGGAAGGTTTGTAAGAATGTGCTAATAGCATGTATTCAACATTTATTTTGATTTAATGAATTAAATTTTAAATTAAGATGCATTAATAAAATTTTCTGTTAAATCATTTTTATTTAAATTAATTTTATCTAATAATTTAATTAAATTAGATTAATATAATAAATATTTGAGATTACTGGATCAATAAAATGGAATTCTATTTTAATCTTATTTTATATCTCTAATTTATATTATGATTTTGTTAATTCAATAATTATTTTGTATAATTAAATTAGTTGAGCTAATAATAGATTGTAAATATGGAATTAAAAATATGGAAATTCACTGTTTTGAAAACATTCTACTGTCTAGAGCATATATTATAATATAGAGAAATAAACATTATTTATTGTATCTATCATAATCTTTCTAATGTTAAATTATGTAACAATATGTGTCATTATAAAAAATTATTTAGTTGAAATGTTAAAATAATTATCATATTATTATTATATTTTAATATTTCTTATTATTGTATTATCAAAAGGAGCACCTATAGAGGGTCAAGAAGTATCTGAAGCTGATCTGCTAGGAAAGCCAATAATAAAGGATTCAGATGAAGAAAGCATGGATAATGATAACGATAAGACGGATGGACAATCGGGAGAAGAAGGCACTGACAGTAACAAGAGACACGCCGATTCTGATCATTCCGACAGCGCGAAAAAGAAAGTGAAGAAGGATGACGGTAGCACCGAGGGTAGCACATCGGAATGTGAGTTGAAGTCGGAGAAAAAGCTGGCCAACATGCGGAGAAACATTCGGGAAGTGATGGACGAAACGCAACTGGACGAAGCCACGTTGTCCGCTCAGAGGCAGGAAATGGAACGTCTTAGGCGAGTGCAGGAACAGCAGAGGATCATTCGTGAGGTGCAGCGTCAGATAGCGATTAATCGACAAAATAGTAAAGCGCAAACGCGTGTTATTAGTCTCCTGCAGGGCAAGCAGAATCAGGCTGGGTCTACTATGATCTCGTCGTCTTCCCCGTCGTCGTCATTTCCGTCGGCGAC